GCTGTGGGGGTGTCTAATGAGAATATTCTCAGGCTGGGGTAACAGCCAATGCAAAGGCCCTTAGCCAGGAGCCTGACTGATGTGGCCATGGTGGCCAGGGCACAGCAAGCAAAGACAAGAGCCTGAGGTTGGAGCAGCAATGAGGAGCCAGGCTGCACCAGGCCTTGCAGCTGATTCAAGGACTTGGATTAGGTGAGATAAGAGCCTCTCAGCAGAGGAGTGACATGGTCTCACATTTTGGAGCATGGACTATGGGGGCTCACACTTAGAGCAGGGGTTTCTGCTTCCTCAGCCCTGGGGACCTTACTCCTTGCTGGAACTCAGCCCTCCAGCAGATTAGAGTACCAGGGTGGGGGAAACGGGGACAAGAGGACTCCCTCCCACCCTTGCCTCCAGCTCATCCCCTTCCTGTGTGATCCATACAAGTCAGCCCCTGATTATGCTTGGAGATGCCCCCACAATCATTTTATTCATTCATCCAGTGACCTTTAGGGGTGCCTGGTCTCTGCCAGGCCTTGAGCCGAACATGGGGACACAGCAGAAAGCAGGGCAGGTTCATTGCTTCCCAGGATTCAAATTCTCAGAGGGGGGCCAGACACATCAACATAGGCTTCCACCCCCGCAGGGTCCTCGCTGGAACAAGGGCATGCATGGGAGCTCAGTGTATGTCCCCCAGCCGGGGGGCTCAGGAAGGCTGCTTGGTGGAGCTGAGCCCAAGCAAAGGCAGGCTGACACTGGCGGACACCAGGCCTGAGCTGAAGGAAGCCTGCAGAGTACCAACAACACACACGCATCCCTCCCTGCCCCACCCATTAAAGATGAGGAAACTGAGGTCCAGGGAGGGAAGGGGACGGGCTCAAGATCACCGAGCAAGCTAGTGGCCCAGGCTCTTCCCACTCAAACTCAGCCCCTAGGAAGGAGCAAGAGGCCTAGACTGAGAGTGCCCAGAGGGCTGGGCCAGCTATGTCTGACTCACCATTGTATCCCATGCTCAGTAATTAGTCCTTGAATGAGTGACTGCAAGATTGGACCATACCCAACAAGAAGGTCCAAAGACCCTTCCTCATCTGGCTTGGGACGGCAGCCCGATCATGGTCAGCCAGACCCTGCAGCCTGGAATCAGGTTGCAGGACCCTCTTTTTATCTGTATGACATGCCAGGGTCCCCCAGTGGGAAGAGGCAGCACCCGTTCTTCTCCAGGGTCCCTTCTGGAACCTAAGAAGGGAGACTCAACCTGAGCCCATGGCCGTACCCTCTTTCCCCCAACCCCCTCACAGAAATGAGTATAGGTAGTTACTATTAAAATTCTTGCTTTAATGATAATATCATCTTAGGGCATAAGATACTATCTCATTTCAATTAACTCATTTTATAGAAGAGGAAACAGTATTGGAAGGCTAACTCACAGATCCACAGTCACCCAGCTAGTAAGTGTTGGAGCTGAGATTCAAACCCCACCAGCCTCGAGTCTACATGCTCAACTCCTCCCACTACTGCCTCCCTGCCTGGCACAGCACCTCCCCTGGCCTGCGCAGTCCTGGAAGGCTGGACTCTGGCAAAACATTTTTTTAAGTAATTTTTGTCTCAAGTAGAGACAAGTGAAATCAGAAGAAACATTCAATCATAAGGCTTTAAAAACAGAGTTGCCCTCAGCCCCACCCCCAATGTGGGGACCCCTGATACTTCCTAGGTCTGGGCTCAGCTGCCCGAGGCTCTCCCTCTGCCCATCCCCATCTGGGGCTCCGCCTCCAGTCACCCAGCAGCCATCCTTCCTGCAGCCAAGAGGAGCAGATGCCTCCATATCCTGGGCTTAGGTGCATCAACCTGGGGGCAGGTGACATAGGGCCTTCTGATGCCCACTTGTCAGACGAAGAAACTGAGCCCACAGCCAGAGACACCTGCCCCAGGCTCTGCAGGCTGTTCAGGGGCAGAGCTACAAGTGTGACTCAGGTGTCCTTGGTTTAGTGCTCTTTCTTCCAGGTGGCAACTGCCTGAAGGACAGGGGTGACTGGACAGAGGGCAGGAAGGAGAGGGGCTGATGTAATCCCAGGTGGGCAGGGTGGCCCTGCCTCCCCCCAGGTATACCACCACCAAAGCCTCCAGTTCTCTGGCTGCTGTCCTCTCCCCCAGAGACCAGCCCCAAGCTAAGACAGCCCTCTCTTCCTGGAGCAGCCCACCCTTGAGGCTCCCACAGTGCTCTGGGGGCCACGAGGAGACCCTCTTGCAGAACACCAAGGCATAGAAGCCCCAGCCGCATCCATGTAGATTTCACTGAAGGACTGCCCATTGATGCAAAGCACCCAGACAAAGGTGGACCTCCACCTGAAGCCCTTCGAGGCTGAGTCTAGCGCCTCCTATAGACTTGGGGTATTTATAAGAATCTGAGATTCCAGATGTTCATGGGGAGTCCAGATCCCAGGCATTTATAGGGATCTTGTTTATACTGGGTGTTTGCTGAAATTCTGAGATATGGCACGTTATAAAATTATATGATTCTAACTAAGTATGTATTAAATTGGTTGCATGATTCTGTTAGCTGGACTGAACCAGAGAAGGAGGGAGCGAGTTCCTGGACCATCCTGGGCACCCTGGCCCGAGCTGGGACAGGACTGCCACTGCCCCTCCCCCACAGGCAGGGAAGATCCCCTAATGCAGATCGACAGAACAGCCCCATCCTCCTGGCCCAACCCAGCCACATAAATCACCCTCCCAATAATATTTGTATTGATTATCTAGATTGGAAGCCTCAATTGGCTCCATTGTCTCACTTCCTCTCCCAGGGCTCACAGATGGGGTCCCTGCGCCTCATCTGCGTTTCTAATTCAACATTTAAATGGAGCAGCACCAGCCAGCAAGGCCCCACCCCACGCTGCCCTGGGTATTGGGGGGTTGGTGGGAGTGTATAAAAATATTCCCTGAGAGAGGGTTACTAAATCATGGAGTTTGTGGTACTGGAAAAGAAGCCATGATTGGCCAACCCCTCAACATGCCAAGTGTGATCCCTGGGTACCACCTGCGAGCTTGCTGGAAATGCCAGAGCTCAGGCCCCGCTCCAGACCTGCAGAATCTGGAATCTGCATTTTCACAAGATCCTTTGATGACTCACCTGCAAGTTAACAGTTACACGAGGCACAGCTCTAGACCAACCCTCAAATTTTACCGAAGGGAAACTGAGGCCCAGAGCAGGCAAAGGGCTTGCCCGAGGTCACAGGGAGCTCTGCAGAGGAAGGGAGAGGGCATGGGCTTGCTAGAGCGGAGCCTGCATCACTGGCTCCTCATCCTCCGCACTCCTGCCTCTTGTCTCAGGGCATGGACAGATGGTTCAGACCAGAGTCTGACCCCCCTGTACTCTCCCAGCCTGGAGGGGCCAGTGAGAGCTCCGGGCTCCCCAGGAGGGCACCTCCCGCCTGCCCGGCCAGCCAGCTGCCCCTTCTCTGGCAGCAACTGGACAGCAGATCCCAGGGAAAACTGCCACCTGGGTCTGCCCAGCACAGCCGGGTGTTAGGGGAGGGGGACACAGAGCCACAGGAGGCCCAGAGAGGTGACCAGCAGAGGGCCTGGGAGAGATGGGGAGGAGGGGAGGGACTGTGCTCAGAGGGAGGGGGACAGGGAGAAGGACAGAGATGGTGCAGAGGGGGGCACAGAGAGATGGACAAAAACAAAGAGAGGGGAGAGAGGGAGAACCAGGAAGGAGGGGAGAAGGACTCAGACTGAGAGGCCCTGATAAAAGCAGCAATAGCCAGGAAGAGAGAATACAGAGAGCGTGGAAGGGAGGCAGTAAGTAGTGAGCGAGGCAAGGAGAAGGGAGGGAGGCAGCTGGCTTGGAGATGCCGGAGCCCGAGCCACTGCCTGCGTGGCCCAGCCCTGCCCGGCTGGCCTGGCCCAGCCCACCCCCAGTGGCGATGCAGCTGCCACACTTGGGCCCTACCATGAGGTCAATCCTGCCCCGGGGCTGAGGGAAAATAAATGGTGTCCAAGATAAAAGGTCCAAGAAATTATTTGTCTTGTTGTCATGTCCCAATTGCAGTGGGCAGGAGCCGGCGGGCAGCGGGGGCACCGCTGCAAAGGAGCCCAGACTGGCAGGCTCAGCCGCCACCCACAGGACCCATAGTCACAGCTCCCCAAACCTAAGCCTGAGAGCCAGGGATGGGGCAGGGGGCAGGGGGTACTTCCCAGTGAGAGTCGAGAGTCAGGGACCAGGGGGCCTCACAGCAGCCTCTACTTCTCCTTCCCAGCAACTTTAAATAAATAACCTGGATGATGAGAATGTGCTCCGTGTCTGCCAGATACCCACAAGTTCTGAAGGGCGAGGTCACGTCTGGTTCGCTCACTGCTGAGGGTCTTTGTGGGCTGGGGGCTTGGGGAGTGAGGGCAGTCAGGGTGCCTCACTGCTCCCAGACCGCTCTGAGGAGGCAGCAAGAGGATGATGGCTCCAAACACCCCAGAGTGGGGGCTAGGCAGTTCCAGGGTCAAGGGCAGGTTCAGGGGGCCATGTCCCAAGGTTTTGCGAATGCCTGTGGCTCACAGGTGCACAAACTCGAGCTCATAGCACACACATACACATGCACACACACGCACACACACGCACACACGCACATACACCACCAGGCCAGATTCCACCAGCATCAGCAGCAGCATCCAAAAAGCATTACCCAGAGGTTCTCCCTCGGAGTGTCTGAACCTGGGGCATGAGGAACAGCCACCTGCTTTAGGCAATCCCCAGGCAGCAACAGCTCTGACACCCATGATGACTGCCATTTATGGGGTGTTCACCAGCAGCAAAGCAATTTTTGTTCACGTCCTCAGTTAATACTCCTGACAAGGCTCTCAAAAATGCACTATTGCTTTCCCACCTTACAGATAAGGAAACTAAGGCCCGGATAGGCTGAGTGACAGGTCTCAAGTCACACAGCCAGGACATGGCAAAGTTAAGATTTCAACCTGAGTCCTTCAAGGCCTTAAACAGTGTGTGTTTGTAGGCAAAGGGGATTGGCACATACCATACTTGTCCCCGTCCTCGCCGCGGGCACTGATCCTGCGGCCCAGGACCTGGATGTGTTTCCCACTGGTCCGGCTGTACAGCTGGTACAGCCGCAGCTGCTTACGGCTCACATCGTCCCGAGCCCGCGTCTGGTTCTCCACGTGGATGCGGAAGTCCACGTTCTCCTCGGCCACCAGCACCTGGGCAGGGAAAAGGAGATGGTGAGCCACGCGGGAGCTCCTGGGTTGCCTCGACACAGGAGCCAGCAACGTTCCCATCAAAGAGCAAGGCTCTGGGCCAGGTCCACTGCACACACACACCCTCATTCCACAGATAGGGCAACTGAAACTCAGAGAGAAGTAAGTTGCCCAATGTGGCCCAGCCAAGAAGTGGCAAAGCTAAGAATCAGCCCCGAGTTAAAGCAAGCAGGTTGAAGGTAAGGTTTCTGGAGTGACCTTGGGCACACAGTTTGTTCTGCCTCAGATTCCTTCTCTGTAAACTTGCGGGTGGCAGGGGGGACAATGTCCCCAACCTGATTACATAAACTGAGCAAACAGGGGAAGGGGGAAGTGTCAAAAACGATATGGAGATGGGAGATTGATGGGGCACATATAATTGTTCTTTGGGTTCATATCAGAAAAGGAGGGGCTGGCGAGTTTCATTCTGGGGATGAATGGACCAGAGCCCAATACAACTTCTCCCCTGGAAGCTGATGCTGGAGGTCTCCTCCCCACCCCCCAAGGGCCCTCATGCCACCCCCAACACCAAGTATCTGCCCACATCACAACCCTTCTTGAAGATGCCTTCACTTTGCATCTCCCATTGAGATCCCCCGTATCCCTCAAGGCTTGCCTCTTGTCTGTCCACTTCCTCCAGGAAGCCTTCTCTGGTTATGCCAACACATCTCTCTCCAGTCTTCCTGTCCCCCACCACTGCCTCTCACCCGGACTACTTGCAACCACCCCCTCACTGACCTCCTGGCTTCCGCTCTTTCCCCGGAAGTCTATCCTCCACTCAAATCCAAGGTCTGCCTTCGAGGCTTCCCCAGACAGCCAGAGCTGCTCTCTCCCGGTTAACACCCTTCCAAGTGCACGATTATCAGGACCTTCCCTCTCAACACTCTCCCATCTTACTGACGTCAAGGACCTGCATGGGGAGACCACGACTGCTCTTCCCCCTTCATCTCCTACCACTCTCTCCCCTCATTACATGGCTGCCTTACTATGCCTGGGAAACTTCCGAACACACTCCTGCCTCAGGGCCTTTGCACTTGCTGTTCCCTCTACCTCAAAGCTCTTTCTGGCCCCTCTGCTTCATTCAGGCCTCTGCTCAAACATCGCCTCCTCAGACAGATCTTTCTTTTTTTTTAAATTTTACTGCCTTGGACAAGTTGTGCTGGCTTCCCCACTATTTCAGACAGACCTTTCTTGACCGCCTTTCTGAGACAGCACCCACTTCCGTCACTCTCCATCCCTTTTCCAGTCTTTGCTTTTCTTTCAGGACTTCGCAACCTGACAGAGCATCTACTGATCTGTTTATTATCTGTCTCCCCCACTAGACTGGCAGAACCATGAAAGCTGGAGCTGTACCTTGTTCGCTGCTATACCCCCAGCCCATAGCACAGCAGAAACACCATTTTTTGAATAAATGAACGAACAAATGAATTTTGAATAGACACGTTAGAGTCCTATCATGCCATTGAGCATTAATTAGGCTTTCCCGTCACCTGCCATTTGGATCCCTGTGTCATGCTATCGGCCCCAGAAGACTGAACGGGACTCTGGGTTTGTTCTGTGAGCCCACAAGCTCTAGCACAACGCTGGGCACGCAGGACGACCACACAGGACCCCTTGCCGTGAGAGCACGGCCCCACCCAGCCCACCGCAGAGCTCTCGGAACCTTGGCTAGCCACACCTCTGTCCCTCCCCTCAACTGTGAGCTCCCAAGGACAGGGGTCGTGTCTTCATCATTGCTAGGCCCCCACGCTCCAGCCAGGGTCTCTGTAACACCAACCTGACCTGAACATTCCTCCACCCCGCCTCACAGGCACTTCAACTGGATGTATTATTTAACCTTCGCAATAATTCTTTGGATAAATGTATCACCCCATATTACAGATGAGAAAACTGAGGATCTGAAGCTTAACTGACAAGGTCACAGAGTGGGCCATGGCAGAGTTAAACCCAGGTGTCTGTGGCCCCCAAGCCCGTACACTACTCCTGCAGGCAGCCCCCAGGCATCAGGCCCTGTCCTTGAGGCCCTCCTTGCTGGGTCCTGCCTGCCCCCCTGCTGAGAAATGCTATGATGATCAGGAGCACAGGGCCCAGGTTCAAACCCCAGGGTGTGCCACTCCCTAGCTAAGAGAAACTCAGGCATGCTTTTAAGCTCACTGTGCCTCAGATTCCTCATGTATAAGGTGAGGTAATGATAATGGTACCCACCTCATGGATTACTGTGAAGATTAAACATATAAAACAACACATAAAGTGCTCAGAACGGTGCCTAGCACAGAGTAAGCACTCAGTAGGGGTAACTATTGATATAACAAAAGAGAGCCTCTTTAAGCTCTAAGTGAAGCCCAGAGTTCCTGGGTAGCACAAACGGTTAAGTGCCTGACTACTAATCAAAAGGTTGGCAGTTCAAACCCACTCAGAGGTGCCTCAGAAGAAAGTCCTGGTGATCTGCTTCTGAAAGGTCACAGCCTCAAAAACCCTATGGAGCACAGCTCTGCTCTGCACACATGGGGTTACCATGAGTCTGAGTCAGTTCCATGCTGGTAAAGTAAAGCCCTACAAACACAGCAGATCACACTCTCACACCCCAAGAGCCAGGGTACTTCCTTGGTGCAGATTACAATTCAGGAAGATGGTACTGCTTTGATACTCCCAACAACCCTGTGACATGGGAACGCTTATCATCTCCGTTTGACAGATGAAGAAACAGGCTCAGACAATTCTAGTCCGTTCCTGTGAGCCATCCAGCCCAGTGGAGCCAGGTGGGCTGCTGGTCCCCCAGATATGTACCCCCTTGGCTTCCACTACCCCTCACGGTCAGCCCCCATCCCCAATCACAGCTTGGGACTCATGCGAAGGAAAGAGCTCCAATGCCCCTGAGGCCCATACCTGGGGGCATGTCCTAGAGACCGCCACTCATGCCCTCGACCTCCCTAGAATAACTTCCTGAGGTGGCTGGGCCTCTCCCCTCCCCCAAGGACTTCTGGGCATCCCTCCTGGCCCTCTCCTCTCCTCCTGCTCACAGGAGACCTTATTGACCAGAGGTCAAACCAATCTCCTAACCCCAGGCCCCCAAGGGGAGCTGCCCTGGCCCAGAAGCCGGCTTCCCATTAATGATTTTCTCCCTGCCCACTGGACAGAAGCAGTGGGGTGACCCAGGGTCAGAGGGCCTATCAGGTGGCCCTTCCCAGGATGTTGGCAGGGACAATCCATCTTGCCCAGCTTCCACCGTTTAAGCCACACTCTGTAGCCGGATCAACCCCGGGGGAGTTAGCAGGGGTGGCCTCTGACACAGAAACAGGGTCTGTCCTCCTGGCAAGGCAGGGGTCCTCCTGGGCTTCCAGGTGAAACCTCTGCCTTGGAGACCCCTGGCCCCTTCCAACTGGCTGACACCTGCTTTGAGGTGCCTCCTCCTGGAAGTCTTTCCTGCCCCACCCCACCCCCAGGCTGCGTTACGACACTCTACTTCAATAGTTTATTGTCCCTCGAGTTCCTGGACAGCAGAAAGCTTGTCTGGTCCAGCCTTGGACCTCCAGCCCTGCCCTGAGGAGGCGCTCAGCAAACGTTTGTTAAACAACTGGCTCAGACTGGGAAATCAGAGGCTAAGATCAGCCCCTCCACTTCACGATCCAAACAAGCACAGTGCCCAGCAGAGGGACAATGTGTGGTGTTTATAACGCTATCGATTGCTAAGGGGTTCTCTGTCCCAGGCACTGTGCTAAGAAGCACTCTAGCTACGGTTGTTGAATCGATTCCAACTCATGGCAACACCATGTGTGCAGAGTACAGCTGCACCATAGGGTTTTCAAGGCTGTGACCTTTCAGAAACAGATTGCCAGGCCTGTCTTCTGAGGCACTTGTGGGTAGGTTTAAACTGCTAACCTTTTGGCCAGTAGTCCAGCATTTAACTGTTTGAGGTTAGCAATTTGAGTGCACCCAGAGGTGCCTCAGAAGAATGGCTAGGTATGGCACTTGTTTAATTCCTTCACCCACTTGTGGAGGGAGAACTCATTTCACAGGTCTGACCTCTGAGGCAACTCCTCCAGGGACACAGGGTCTACCTCTAGAGCTCCCACAATGTGGGACCACCTTGAGGAACATTCCGTGCCCCCTCCTTTCCTGCTGGCTGGTGGCAGCTCACTTCCCTCTGCTGCCCTGAGAGAAGGTCTGCCTTCGAGGCTTCCCCAGACAGCCAGAGCTGCTCTCTCCCGGTTAACGCCCTTCCAAGTGCACGATTATCAGGGGTGTTGAAAAGTTGCTGTGTGAAAAAAATCAAATTGCTGCAACTCTCGCAAAGCGAGAAGGGCTGGCACATAACAAATGTTCCCTTCTGCAGAGGGAAGGCGCCTTTCCCTCAACCCCGTAAACATGAATTATCTTGAGGGTGGAAGAAGCTTTTCCCACAGAGGGGTGTCCTATAGCAGGGTTCCCCTGCAGCCTAAGACCCCAACCACCTGGCCCCTTCCCCTGCCTTGAAAGCTTTAGTTCTGGGGAGAATATTTGCTCCCCAAACCAGAAACTGCACCAGGGGCAGCAAGGACCCAGTAGGGTCAGATGTCCCCTGCCCGCGGGGTCTACCAAGGTCCTGGGCACCATCCTCGTGGGCAGACCTCACTGCCCACTCTTGCCCTCGTCAAGTGCACCCTCGGAGCAGGTCCTCAACACACAACTTGATACCATCTCCCTGCTCAAAACCCTGGCCTGGGTGCCCACCCCCCACAGGATCACGGCCGAGTGTCCCTCACCATCTAGCCCCTGCCTATCTTCCAAGCCTCTTTTCTCGGGAACCTTTATGGGAACCTGCCATGGGGTGAAAGAGCTTAGGATGAGCCCCCAGCCCTGAAGCTGCCAGATTCTCTCCAGGGACCCTCTCCCACGAGGCATCCAGCAACCACCAGCCTCACAGACCCTCTCATAGCTTTGAAAGGCCTGTGTGGGGACTTCCTATTTCTTCCAGGGCCACACTGCCACCTCCCATGGACATCCGCCACATTACATATCACCTACATACACACACGACACAAACACACGCACACACCCAGGCA